CGGAGGGTCTCGTGAGGCTCGTGAGGACCGTGAGTCCTGAGGCCGTGAGGCTCCGTGAAGCTCCGTGAGGCTGTGAGGCTCCGTGAGGGTTGTGAGTCCGTGAGGTCCTGTGAGGGTCTGTGAGGGTCTGTGAGCTCCGTGGCTCCGTGAGGGTCTGTGAGGCTCCGTGAGGCGTCGTGAGCTCGGTGAGGTCTGTGGAGAAGTGAATTGTAGTGATGCTTGCACAACAATCTGAATGCATTTAATATCACTAAATGGATATGCAAATGGATAAAATTGTAGATTTATGCTCTGTATCCTTTATCACAACAAAAAAGTAAGAGAAAATTGTGTATATCATATGAAGACTATAAAATTGTCTAAATTAGATTAATGCATGCATGGAAAAAGGAAGTGATAAGAAATTAATAATAGGCTGGGTATCGTGGTGCATGCCTGTAGTCCCAGCTACTCTGGAGGCTGAGGCAGGAGGATCGCTTCAGCTCAAGGAGTCTGAGGTTGCTGTGAGCTAGGCTGATGCCATGGCACTCTAACCAGGGAAACAGAGTTAGACTCTGTCTAAAAAAAAAAAGGAATTAATCATAAATTTATTAGTTAACTACCATTTCTCTAAGGATCTCAGACTTGATCTAAAGTTATACATTACTAATTAAGATAAGAAAATAAAGACGAGTAGACGTCATAAATAATTTTGAGAAGCTGAATATATTACCATGTTTGGAATTTTCATGACATTTCCAAATTAATATGAATGTTGCATAGAAATATTTTCAATATTTTTGAGACTATTTTATTGTCCTATTATGAGTGGGACAAGAACTTTTTATCTACAGACAGAAAAGATCACGTAGACATGAAAAAATAACTTTGCATTATATTAAAACATATACAAATATGTAATTGAACATGTTTGACTTAATATCCTGCATTCTTGCAATCCACTCTGGAAGTCCAGAGTGGATTAACAGATAGCTAAAACATACTTCTAATAAAAAATAGAAATCGATTAATATCCTCACGTCCCCAAGGACTGCTGGATGGAGACCATACTCAGTGACTTCCCATGTATTACCATTCCACATGGCGGCCTGTTTCATCAAAGTAAGCAATCAAGAAGTGTGTGTGTGTGTGGTGGGGAGAGAATGCATATGGAAAACACTATCTTTTATAAGCTAATGTTGGAAGTTATATTTCCACATTCTGCCATTTTGCCATACTCTATTTTCTAGAAGCAAATCACTATGTCCATTCCTCACACAGTGGGGAAGGAGGATGTATAATATATTATACAAGGGAATGAATGAGAAAAAATGAAGACAATTGGGGGACATTTTAAAAGCAGAGTGCCACGGTTCATCGCCTGACGTTGCCTATCATTGTTTACTCATTCAAACCATGTTCATTCCGAAGCTATCCAAAATTCTCAGTCCATTACAGCATCAGTTCAAAGCCCCTCTCTTCATCTAAGATAGCTCCAGCTGCAGACTGGGCTACTGGGTATAATTCCTTGAGAGCAGCTCCTCCATCTGTAGATCTGCGAAACTAAAGACTAGTTATCTGTTCCCAACACCACCAACATGCAATGGTAAGAAAGGCTTAGAGTAACTTCTGCAGGAATTTTAATTCAAAGCTGGGGGTGAGGGGGAGAGGACTGGAACTAAAAGGAACCGCTACTCCATGGCAATTCTGAAATCCGGCCCATGACACATGCTGGGAGCTCCTTGATTAGGTTTCCAGGCCTGTGGGCAATCTCTCTTGGCTCTTGGTTCTGTCCTCTGGGATCTTGTTTGACGCCTAAGCGTTCCTTCCTTTTTCATGAGAGGCAGCATGTGTTTGCAGCCGAACAACTCAGCCTGCCCCTGCTGGCAGGGTTTGGGGAGTCCAGTAGCCTCTTTCCTTTTGTATCGTCTCTTTCATTTTTGCCGGCTGTGTGTCTGCGGGCATTTCCCCAGATGGCGGCCTCCTGGAAATCTCGCCAGTGATCCCGGTGTGAAACCAAAGCCGCACTCACAGGATCTTTGAAATGGGCCTTTTCCACCCGAGCTTCGCGGAGGGCGAGACCTGTGAAGGGGCGTCGAGGACCGTGAGGCTCGGAGTCTCCGGTGAGGGCTCCTGGGAGGTCCGTGAGGCTCCGTTGAGGGGGACCTGAGGCTCCGTGAGGCGTCCGTGGAGGCCTCCTGGGGAGGGACCGGTGAGGCTCCGGTGAGGACCGTGAGGTTCCGCTTGAGGGTCTGTTGAGGCTCCGTGAGGTCGTGGAGGGGTCCGTGAGGCTCCGTGAGGCGTAACCGTGAGGGTCTGTGAGGCTCCCGGGGAGGCTCCGTGAGCGTCGTGAGGCTCCGTGACGGCCTGTGAGGCTCCGTGAGGCGTCTGTGAGGTCCGTGAGGGTCGTGAGGCTCCGGTGAGGGTCCGTGAGGGCTCCGTGGGAGGTTTGAGGCTCCGTAGGGTCGTGGGGAGGGTCCGTGAGGCTCCGTGAGGACCGTGAGTGGTCTGCTGAGGTCCGGGAGGCTCCGTAGGGTCCGTGAGCAGGTCTGGGTGAGGCCTCGTGAGCGTCTGTCGAGGCTCCGTGGAGGGTCGGTGAGGTCCGTGAGGCTCCCGTGAGGCGACCGTGAGGGTCCTGTGAGGCCTCCGGGAGTGCTCCGTGAGGCTCCGCGGAGCTCCGTGGGAGGGTCTGGTGAGGCTCCGTGAGGGTCTTGTGAGCTCCGGGAGCTCCCGTGAGGCGTCCGTGAGGGCTCCGGGAGGGCTCCGTGGAGGGTCCGGAGGCTCCGTGAGGGTCCGTGAGGCTCCGGGAGGGACCGTGAGGCTCCGTGAGGACTGTGGGGGTCTGTTGAGGCCTCCGTTGAGGGGTCCGTGAGGCTCTTGGAGGGTCCGTTGAGGGGACCGTGAGCTCTCGTGGGGTCCGTGAGCTCCGTGAGGGGTCCGTGAGGGCTCCGTGAGGGTCTGTGGAGCGGTCGGTGAGGCTCCGTGAGGGTCCGTGGAGGGCTTGAGGCCTCCGTGAGGGCTCCGTGGAGGGTCGTGAGGGTCCGGTGAGGTCCGTGAGGGTCTGTGAGCTCTGTGGAGGTCCGTGAGGGTCTGTGAGGGCCTCCGTGAGGGTCCGTGAGCGCTCCCGCTGAGGGTTCTGTGAGGCTCCGGAGGGCCGTGAGGCGTCCTAGGCTCCGGTGAGGGACCGTGAGGCCGTCTGTGAGGCTCCGGGAGGCTCCGTGGAGGTCCGTGAGGGTCTGTGAGCTCCGTAGAGGTCTGTGAGGCTCGGTGGAGGGCGTGAGGGTCCGGTGGAGGCCTCCGTGAGGACCTTGAGGGGTGCGTTGTGAGGCTCGCTGAGCTTCCGTGAGGCGTCCGGGAGGCTCCGCGTGAGGTTCTGGTGGGCTCCGTGCAGGTCGTGAGGCTCCGGGAGGCTCCGTGGGAGCGTCCGTGGGCTCCGGGTAGGGGCTCGTGAGGTCCGTGAGCGCTCCGTTTGACGGGTCCGTGGCTCCGGGAGCGGGACCGTGAGGCTCCGTGGGGACCGTGGAGGGTCTGTGAGGCCTCCGTGGAGGCGTCCGTGGGGGGGTGCTCCTGTGAGGGTCCGGTGAGGGACCGTGAGGCTCCGTGAGGGTCCGTGAGGCTCCGTGAGGGTCCGTGAGGGGCTCTCGTGCAGTGGAGGGTTGTGAGGTCCGTGAGGCTCCGTGAGGGTCCGGAGGGTCTGTGAGGCTCCGTGAGGGTCCGTGAGGGTCCGTGAGGCTCCGTGAGGGTCCGTGAGGTCTGTGAGGCTCTGTGAGGGTCTGTGAGGCTCCGTGAGGCTCCGTGAGCTCCGTGAGGGTCTGTGAGGCTCCGTGAGGGCTCCGTGAGGCTCCGTGAGGGTCTGTGGGCTCCGTGGGGAGGACGCTGAGCTCCGTGGCGGTCCGTGAGGCTCCGTGGAGGGTCTGTGAGGCTCCGTCGAGGGTTCTGGTGGGCTCGGTGAGCTCGTGAGGGTCCGTGAGGCTCCGTGGAGGCGTCCGTGAGGGGTCTAGTGAGCGGTCAGTCGAGGGCTCCGTGGAGGTCTGTGAGGCTCCGTGAGGGTCCGTTGAGGGTCCGTTGAGGCTCCGTGGTTTTTAGCGGTCTGTGGACTCCGTGAGGGTCCGGGAGGCGTCATGTGAGGCTCCGTGAGGGGAACCGGTGAGGCTCCCGTGAGGGTCGCGTGAGCTCGGAAGCTCCGTGGGAGGGTCTGTGATGGGTCCGTGGAGGGTCTGTGAGGGTACCGTGGAGGCTCTGAGGGCTCTGTGAGGTCTGTGAGGCTCCGTGAGGCTCCGTGAGCGGTTGTGAGTCCGTTGAGCTCCGTGAGGCTCCTGTTGAGGTCTGGGGGAGACTCCGTGGAGGGTCCGGGAGGTGTCGTTGAGGTCGTGAGTCCGTGGAGGCGTCCAGAGGCTCTTGAGGACTCTGGTGAGGCATGGCTTGATCCTTGTAACAAAATTCGTATACTTGGTTAAACACTCCGACCCTGTGAACCTTTCTCTGAAGTCAAATTAGCTGGCTTAATTATATAGCCGCTGTTTGAACATCCGCGCCCCTGGGCTGTCTCCGGGCCGCTTTTGGGGGCCGCGCAGGCTGCCTCCATGGCGCCCGCCGGCCCTCGGCCTAGCTCGCTCGCGCAGCGTGGCACACTCGGGGTCCCCTCAGGCTGTCCGAGCAAGGCCTCAGTTTCTCCGGCCCCGCCTGCCCCCGCGGGCGGACAGGCTCTCATCCTTGGTCGTTCCTTGTCTCTGGCCTGCAGTCTAACAGGCGGCGTGCGGGGCCTTTGCCGAGCCCTGTCGTTAGGGACAGGCCCTTAGATGCGCCCGGGAACAGGAAGGGGGTCCTGTTGCTAGGGACGGGCCTTTAGACGGAACAGGAAGGGGACCCTGTTGCTAGGGACGGGCCCCCTTAGATGGAACAGGAAGTGGGGCCTGTTGTTAGGGACGCGCCCTTAGATGGAACAGGAAGTGGGGCTGTTGTTAGGGACGCGCCCTTAGATGGAACAGGAAGGGGCCTGTTAGGACGCGCCCTTAGATGGAACAGGAAGTGGGGCTGTTGTTAGGGACGCGCCCTTAGATGGAACAGGAAGTGGGCCTGTTGTTAGGGACGCGCCCTTAGATGGAACAGGAAGTGGGGCTGTTGTTAGGGACGCGCCCTTAGATGGAACAGGAAGGGGGCCCTGTTGTTAGGGACGCGCCCTTAGCTACGCCCAGGAACAGGAAGGGGGCGCGGCAGGGAGCGGCAGGGAGCGGGAAGGGATCATCAAGTGTCTCAAAGGGCCAGGACTGCCGACCCCAGATACAGCAATCGGCTCCCAGCCCACCATTGCCAGGTTTCGTTTTTATCCAGCAAGTAGGTGCTGAATGACATTTAAATGCCACACATTTATAGTTGCTGCTTTAAATCTCAGATGCCTCATATCTGTTTTCTGGAACAAGTGCCCCCTATCCCCAGATTGACTGCTAAGTCTCTGAGCCGCTTCCGCTCTCCCCGTGAACGTCAGCGCTCGTCCCTCTGCAGATGGGCACAGGTGCATGGGCGCGTGCACGCACCCGCCCTGCTTTCCTAGCACAGACTCTCGTTTGGTTCTCCCAAGTTCTCACACTTATATTTTGATCAGACACATAAACCGATAATTTAAGAAATAGGTAAGGTCAATTGTGGGTTCTTCACGAAGAAAGGAAAATTTTAAATTCAGTATTAGAATTTTTTTTTTTTTTTTTTTTTTTTTTTGAGACAGAGTCTCGCTTTGTTGGCTAGAGTGAGTGCCGTGGCGTCAGCCTAGCTCACAGCAACCTCAAACTCCTGGGCTCCAGTGATCCTTCTGCCTCAGCCTCCCGAGTAGCTGGGACTACAGGCATGTGCCACTATGCCCGGCTAATTTTTTATATATATATATCAGTTGGCCAATTAATTTCAGCTTACTCCAGCTCACGCCTGTAATCCTAGCTCTCTGGGAGGCCGAGGCGGGCGGATTGTTCGAGGTCAGGAGTTCGAAACCAGTATTAGAATTTTATGATTTAAAGCTATTAGAATTCAAAGCTATAAAAAAAATCTATCAGTGAACTCTTGTTTAAAATGCATATGTACCTTTTTCACATAAGGACTGATAATATTTTAATCGAAATAACAATCTTATGGGATAACAGGTTTAGTTGAATTATCTTTCCAATATCATATGGGAAATAAATGCCAATATTAGGTTTAAATCCATTCAATGTAATTATGGTAATCTCATCATGGGACATAATATCTGATAACATAATTTAACAAAGAAAAATATACATTATCACGTTTTGTTACCATTTGTGGACCACACACAGTGCCGTCAGCAACATAACTATTATCTCTTCCATCTGATCTCATGGATGACCCAGTGGCTATAGACAGACAGGCATGGTCTTTAATATATGAATAAACTGCAGTTTGAACATCACTTTTATAAGTATCATTTTGTGGCCAAACACAAGCTAATTTTCCACAGAGAACATCCCTGGAAACAGAAAGTGGAAAATTATTTACCATTTTGGCTTTTAATGATCGCATGTTCTCATTAAATATTGCATGGGTGATAACATAAATATTTTTAATTGATGGTAAAAAAAAAAAAACCCTGAATAATGTGAAAATAAAAACTTTCTAGTTGTTGTGTATGGTGCACAACTAAATTCATCTATACTAATTAGCATCGTAGCAGAATTGAAATGTATACAATAAAACATAAAGACTTGACTTCCATTTCTCATTACAGAGCTCAACATTGTTTTCTAGGTTCCATTGTCTTACAGCACTCATACTGTGACACATTCTTTGGGAGAATTCATCATCTGCCCCACTGACCAGCCTGGCCGGTCTGGCTACTTGTTTCCAAAATTTACCAAGAGCTGCTATACTTTTTCTGTGTCTTTTAATTATGCCTGTGGTTTCCTTCAGACAGCACATTTCTTCAGCACACAGTCTCTTCATTTGGATCCCAAATTTCTCCCAACATACAGATATCCCCAGTGTATATAAACTTATTTCTTAAGAATTTAGGAACTGTTAGGTCCCCTCCATGCCACAAGCATATCAAAGTTACCCCATAGACACTTTATTTTCCTATTTACAATCTATCATTGGGTAAAACACTGGCTTCCCTAAGAGGCCTACAGTATTCCCAGACCATGCTCTAAAAATAGTCTATGACATTTCTTGCTCTTGGAATCACTCAAATCTATTTATCAAATATCATACTCAATGGAAATAATCATATTTAGCTATTTATATGTGTATACTGAGCCTGTCATCATTATTTTACAAAAAGCCCTCTCTCAGGAAATTTTACTCGTTTGTCCTAAAAAGGATCATTTTGGGCTCTTTTAGTATCAGAGTGGTGAGCTTAATGACACCAAGAAGTACAGATTGAAATGAGGCTTGGAATCAAAACTTAAAATGCTTTCCAATCTTTTATTCCTTCAAGGATAATGTTTTCTATTTCCTCGGGTCTGTATATTTCTTTTGTTTGGCTCCACTGTCTTTCTGTGAAATATGTTTTAAACTAGCCTTGCATGGTATGTCTCTTTCTAGTCTGGCCAAGAACAAACTCTTCCTCTAAAGTCCATTTTACCCGATTTTACATTTATGTTTAAATTCTTAGATTTGCTTTTCTTTTCTGAAAATGAATCACAGAATGCTTACATTAGATAATTTACCCTATTCAATTCTAGTCTCATCTAGCTTCCATTTCAGGAAAACACATGTACTATTATATAAAATAAACTCCAGAGGAGTCATGTGTACTAACTTCCATGGTTTCTTCCCCATTTCCTTTTCCTTTCCCCATAAATAATCTAAAATCAAAGGCAGCCGACATTCTTCTGGCCATCAGGAAGAGAGATAAAGTGTGGCTGGTGTGCCACTTCTGTTTTTATTGGGTTCCACTGTGGTATAACTCAGTCTGCCTTCCCACTGCTGCTCTGTATCGGTGTCCAAGAATATGTGGCTAGTTAGACATTTTCATTTATATTATATAGAGTCTCCTCATGTGATCTCCACTCATCAGCATTCTCTTTGTGATTCCAGGTCTCCTATTTCCATCCACTAGTCCTCCTGTGTTTGGGGCATGCGGGGAATTTTGCATTGTCTCCAAGCCGTGCACGATCCATGATGATTTCACGTGTGGGGGATACCATCTTAGCCCCACCTAACTAGACTCATTTTCATCCATCTTTCACCTTCATAAGGAACCATATTGTTTCTGAACAAAGCTGAGTGTGGTGCTGACCTGAAGATTTTATAGTTTTTTTATTTTTTTGGCTATGTCTTGGAGGTTAAAAGGAAACCCTGCTTCTCTATGAATTAAATGATTTTATCTAAATGTTTTTATATTCTGTCCACATTCCCTTATTTCTTCAATCTGGTTTGGCTTTTTTTTGTGTGTGTGTGTGTGATTCTTTTACTTTTAATACCCTGATGAAATTCAGGAAGTATTTGTTAGGGGGCATTTCCTGTATTAGATATTGGATTTCATGAATCCCTTTATTATGTGGCTTATGGGAAAACTATGTCCCAATAGCCCAAATTTAGCTATTAATATATACTCCCATGCTTTACAGGTCAATGTTTTGGAAGCAAACAATAAAAACTTTCTTTATCTCAAAATCCTATGTCTAAAAATCAAAGCATTTGCTTTAGGTTTATTTATTGTCATTTAGACTTGTCATAAAATGCAATTTTAATTCTCAATATACAGTATGAGTTCTGATTTTTTGCAGTTTCTGCCCACTTTTTTTCCTCTGTTAATAAGTACTACTTTTCTTTCTTCCAGTCTCCTTCTTAGGGTGATATAAGGAAAAAATAATGAAAAAGACAACTGTGAATACTATAGAAGAAAAATGCATATATTGGTATTTGAAAATATTATACTGTTTTACAATTTGCTGTTCATTATTATTCAGCATCTCTTGATAAACATATCATTTTTATAATTCAAAAAAACAATTATTTTCTACATACATACTTCTGTTCACAAGGTAATGGCTGTAAATTTTTAAAACCGCAGTCTCCAAATCTATCACGCAGAGAATTAACTTCTTTAAAACAGGCAAAAGGAGCACCTTGAGCACCTTAAAATGCAAACACGCCAGTTGAATTATCATTTTGAATCTAAATTAAATATCAATAACAGGCTAATGTAACTCTAATTTCAAAAAAAAATATGCACTTCATCATGCATTTGTTTCTGTGTGTACCTTGTCAATGCAAGTAGAAAGGAACTACTGTCTTACATAATGCATAACAGAAAAAAATTACACCTATCTCAATAAATTACATTACCATTAAAAACAATTTGCTGTCCCTCCCTATGGAAGCAAATGCTTACTATTCCAATGGATGTTAGGTTTAACTTTGTAATTTGCTTTGCTTAACGAAATGAGAAAGTTGAGGCATGTCGCTTACAGGCAGAAACCTTTGGAACTAACACATGGTTTACCATATTCTCTTTTTTTCTCTGACGGGGAATCAGCGATCTTTTAGTGTTTAAGTAGAGGTTCATCTCTCAAGCTGAATGCCATACTGAAGGCATTTTGGGATATTAAATAGCTATATTGGATGTGTGAATGATGAAGATATGGGGGGTTATTTCTATTTCATTATATACATGAGCCAGAAACTAGAATTGGAGTGCTACTATTAACACAACATATACCTAAAATATTAATATGTGGCCTTGAGATTGGAATCTGGCAGTAAGTGGTGAGAAAACTATTATCAGAGGCTAAAATGTGAGTGATCCATGTTGTGAGATGGTGAAACATTTGGAGAAACTATCTTCTCGATAAAGTTAAGGAGAGATGATGGCCCTAATGAACTTGTCATCTTAGACAAAGAGGTAAGAAAACAATGCATCTTGGTTATGCGTGGCCAGGTACCACAAGTACTAAAAAGAGACAAACTAAACTCAGAAACAAATCAGCTATTTCAAAAGTAGGAAGGGAAGGAAATAAAGTCTAGAAGTTGTCCATCCTCAGGCCCTGGAAAGGATGCTATAGATTCTGGCTGATATAAGATGACCAAGTCATTACATCTACTTGGTTGTTTTGTGTCTTTTCCTTGGTGGCTGCTGTTCAATGGTGTTCACCTGATGGATTAACACACAGATCTTCACATTTCTTGCTCACTTCCATCTGTCTGTCCACATATTTATATCTCAGGATTCTTGCCACTAATCTTCCAATATTTCTCCTCAAGGCTCCCCACCACCCAGCTGGACCCTTAGTCACTGCCTATGAGTATATCTATAGTCTAACCTCTGGCCAGACCTCCTTCCACAGAACACGGACGGCCAGGGGTCAATATCTTTCAAGGCCACTCCCAGGGGAAGCTGCAATGCAGCTTCTGTTCTTTTTTGGCTTACAACCAGTAACTAAGCCAACCCATCCGTAAGACAAGCCTAGGCTTGTTCCTCCTGTGTCAAGTGAATGTAAGAAAAGCCCATGTACCCACAGGTGTGAGATGAGAGAAAAGCAAAGATGCAAGAGGGGAGAAAGGGTGGATTTTCTGCTGATGGATTTTTTTCTTCTGTGCTCTCTTTGTGCATGTGTTTGAACCCAGATAAATGACTTCCAGCTATCTAACTATGTAACTCAGTAGATCTGATATAACTGAGCTTACCTAGGGATACACTTAACTAAGGAGGTGAAAGATGTCTACAAGGAGAACTACGGAATATGGAGGAAAGAAATTACAGACGACAGAAACAAATGGAAAAACATGTTCATGGATCGGTAGAATCAACATTGTTAAAATGTCTATATTACCCAAAGTGATTTACAGATTGAATCCAGTCCTCATCAAAATACCAACATCAGACTTCACAGATCTAGAAAAAATAATTCTATGCTTTGTTTGGAAACAGAAAAGAACCCAAATAGCCAAAGCAATCTTAAGCAAAAAGAACAAATCCGGGGGCAAAACAGGCAGGCTTTTGTATAAAACCCTCACTTCGATTAATCATTGCATGTGTTACCCTGGAAATGTGTGCCTTTGGGTAAGGTGTCTCTGAGCAGCTGAGATAAATTTTGAAGGAGATGATAAATGAAGATTACCTGAATGAAAGCTGGCAATATTTTCCTTTTTCTCTGCTCCTTATTTTTGCTTTATTCTATCTTTATTTCTTTAAATGCAAATAGCAAAACTACAGGTTTAATATTTCTTTTATGTTTTTACTGTCTTTATCTCTTGATCGATCATAAGCTCCATGTATACAATAACCATGTGACTATGTCCATCCTATTCAATACTATCAGCTCTCTGAATATAAACACTCAATATTTTTTGATGAACAAATCTGGTTATACTTCTACAGTCACTTTAAAAGTTTAAATTTACTTAAGGAAAGACTGCAAAATTCATGAAACTACTTGTTTATTTGCATCCCATAATAGACTACCTTAAGTAGTCTACTTTTGCCTTATGTTTTTGGTAATTAACAAGAAAAATACCTGAAGTTAAGGAGCCAAGTAAATGAATCAAGGAGGAATAAATAAATGAACAAAACTGCATCAGAGGATGAAATTTTTGACCCATTTCTGTCAGTTATGGAGAATACTACAGCATACATTAGAGGAGGTGATGCACATGAATTGTTAGCCCTTTTCTAAATATCTGTTGCAACTAGAACTCAAAAAATATCAAATGTCAAGTAACTCAATTCTAGGTCAAATATTTTTTCTATTAAAAATAGAAAAATATAAACTAGATCCACCTTAATGGACCTTGCAGAAAGTATTATTTACTTTTTAAGAGATGTGTTAAACCCTGATGAAAAGTTATTATGACAATAACAAACAATAATATTCAAGTACAAATAAGCATTAAGAAAAACAAAACACACACCAATGAAAATCCCACAAAAACTAGCATCCTAGAAATACAGCATACAGAAAATAAGCACTGACTTGTGATTTAAGATATCATAGTTCTACAGCTCTGGTTCAATTTTGGTTAAGTCACCTAATCTGAAACTTATTAGTAAAGACAAGTTTCAAATAATTAGGAAGACAATGTGGACTACAGACCATGTCATTTGATACAAAGTACACTATTTAAACTGCTGCTGGTTAAATAACTGATATTTGGTGTTATACTACCTTTATTCAGCTATCAAATATTTATATTTGAATGCATTCACTAGGTAATTTTGCTGTATTATTCAAATTATTTTAATTCCATTAAAATATAAAATCATATTAAGACACGAATAATCGCTCACCAAAACAACATAGATCTTATTAGAATTACTCTCAAAGCTATCTGAAAGCAAAATCCAACAATGAATTTTGATCATGTGGTTTATGACTACTATTACCATAAAGGTTATTCTTCAATGAGAAAATAATATTATACTTGAATGAAATTCACACTGAACTTTCTAAGTTTCATGCCCTCAAAATTAGATCATGATTGTTGGAAATAAAATAATTAAAATTTCAGAATCTACTGATTTGCCATTCCAATATTTATATAAATTATCAGCTATAGACATGGATCTTTGGTTGGACATCTAATCACCAAAAATAAAGATCAAAATATGAGAAAATAAATGTGTAGTACTAGTCTTGGAAAATATCAAACCTTACTATAAAAAAAAGCCTTATTGAATTCAGATTTAATCTTTATTAAGCTAGTGGTTCAGGTTCTTCCTCTACTAGAGTTCTGTGTTATGTAATACAGTCTACAGAGAAATACAAATTTAAGGTAAAAGAAACACAAAGGAACATGCAATACCTTTTCCAAATATCTTGGCACACTGGTTATCAGTAGTTTGGCACTGCCCATTATAACAATATGCAGTTTCCAGCCTGCACAAATGGCCATTCAATGCATAAGTGTCAGGGACACAATCACTAGAAGTTCCATTGCAATACTCTGTAAAATCACATTCTTGATCAATACTCTTTCTACATGGAGTGCCTGCTATTGATAACTAGGAGAAAAAAGAAATAGAAAATCATCTATGAATTACTTTTCTCAGTTGCTTACTGAAGAGATTTATCAAATAAAATCTGACTACTGATATTTTAGGGAATAATAAGAGTTCCTGAACTAGTGAGTTTTTCAACAGAAAAATCAGGTACACTGTTCATTGTGAACCCTCAAAAAAAGTAACGGTCACAAAGATATAAAATAATCCCTTCTGACAGAGGATTTGCAACTGCTCACCTGCTTTGTATTCCACATTTTGAGGCCATCTGACACAACTAGCATTTGGAAAAAGATGAAACATATGAATATACTTGTTCCATGAAAATGGAAGAATACTTCTCTATCTTTTTGTTCTTAGAGAGATCCAGGAGGCAGAATGCCTGGTTTCAGTACCTGGTTCTGACTCTTACTAGCTTATGCGTGTAGGTGAGACATATAATCTGTTTTACATTTACTTGGGATAAAAATCATATTCTGATAAAGTTCTTATTAGTATTAAATTGAATTAATGAAAAAAAGGTGCTTAAAGATTAATACATGATAAATGACATTCATATGTAATAGATATCACCACCATTGTAATCATATTATTATCTGAGAGCATAAAAACCTCCTTGCATTGCTCAGATAAAGAGTATAGTTACTGTGAAATTTTTGTGGCTGAATGACCTAGGAGGTCATCCATTGCCTTCTATAGTGAAGTTTACTAGGTCTAAATGCTGACATGCTATATATGCAGAAGACACACACACACACACACACACACACACACACACACACTCTCTAATAATCCATTTTGGTTGAATTAATATGAAATAATAAAACAAATAATAAATAATAAAACAAAGATGATTAATAAATAAATGAAGTGGCATCTTAAAAGTGATGAAAAATTCTTTCAACAGGATTATATACTCTGAAAATATATATTTCAAAAATGAATATGAAATAAAGATTTTCTTACACAAATACAAATGAAAGAATTCATTTTCAGCAGGTCTATTTTTTTTAGTTGTTATAGATTTAGGGGATAAAAGTACAGTTTTATTATACTTTTACAATTATAATTGATACAGATAATCAATTTACAATTGATACAGCATGGCTATATCACATACTGATGAAATCTGGGCTTTTAATTTACCCATTGCATGAACAGTTACATTGTACCCAACGAGTAACTTTTCATTCGTCATCTCCCTCCCACCCTTTGGAATATCCAATGTCAATTATTCCACTTTCTATGATCATGTGTACCCAGAGCTTAGCTTCCACTTATAAGCAAGAACCTGCAGTATTTGATTTTCCATTCCTGAGTTATAATACTTCACACTTAGGATAATGGCCTCCAGTTCTATCCAAGTTGCTGCAAAAGACATTATTCATTATTCGTGGCTGAATAGTATTCCATGACATGTGTGCACGTGTATGTGTGTGTACACACACACGCCACCTTCTCTTTATCCTATCATCTGTTGATGGGCACTTAGGTTGATTCTGTATCTTTGTTATTATGAATAGTACCACAATAAATGTAGGATTGCAGGTACCTATGTGGGACAAAATGATTTCTTTTCATATGGGTAGATACCCAGTAGTGAGAGTATTGGATTGATAGTAGCTCTATTTTTAGTCCTTTGAGATATCTTCAATTTATTTTCTATAGTGACTGTACTAGTTTACATTCCAACCAACAGTGTGTAAGTGTTCAATTTTCTCTGCATCTGTGACAAAATCAATTGCTTCTTAACTGTTTAGTACATTCTAACTGGGATAAGATTGTATCTCATTGTGGTTTTAACTTAACATTTTTTCCACCCCTTTACCTTGAATATATGAACGTCTTTACCAGTTAGGTGAATTTCCTGTAGGCAACATATGTTTGGACACTTTTTGTTGTTGTTGCTCATTCTCCAATGTTTCTTTTAAGTGGGGCATTTAGTACATTTAGTTCAAAGAATAATGTTATGTGAGGTTCTGTTCCTGACATATTGTTAATTGTTACCTGGTTGCTTTGTGTTCTCAACTGTGTTTTGTAAGACCAGTGAGTTTTATTGTTTCATATGTTTTATGATAGTAAATATTGACCTTTCCTTTCCATGTGTACAATTGTCTTGAGCATTCTTTTAGGGCCAGTCTAGTGGTGACAAATTTTCTTAGCATTTGCTTGTTTGGGAAAGACTATTTCATCTTCACTTATTAAGCATAGTTTAGCAGGATACAAAAATTCATGGCTGAAAGTTTTTTCCTTTAAGAATGTTGAAAATAAAACCCTAATCTCTCCTAACTTACAAGGTTTTTGCGTAGAAGTTTGCTGTTACTCTGATGGGCTTTCTTTTACAGATTATTAGACATTTTTCTTTTTGCTGCTTTTACATTTTTTTCTTCACATTGACTTTAGATATTTTGATGACTATTTGCCTTGGTGAAGTCTTTCTGGCAATGTGTCTCCCTGGTATTCTGTGAGCCTTTTGTATCTGAATGTCTAAATCTCTTGCAAGCCCAGGGAAATTTCCCTTAATTATTTTTTCAAATAGATTTTCCATACTTTTTTCCTTTTATTCTTCTCACTCAGAAATACTGGTGACTCATAGGTTTGGATGCTTTACATAATTCCATATTTGTTAAAGTCTTTGTTAACTTTTTAAAATTAATTTTTTCTTTATTTTTGTCTGACTTGGTTAATTTAAAAGACCTATCTTCAAGCTGTGAAATTCTTTCTTCCGTTAGGTCTATTGTTTGAGTTTTCACCTGCATTTTATAATCCCTTCAATGAGTCTTTCATTTCCTGAAGTTTTTAAAATATTTATCTCTGTAGTCAATTTTTCATTCATATCCTGCAGTGTTTTAATGGTTTCTTTGTGTTGGTTTTCAACTTTTTTTTTTTGGATCTCACTGACCTTTGCAACAATCCATCTTTCGAATTCTTTATCTGTCATTTCAAAATTTTCATTTTGACTAGGATCCAATGGTAGAGAGCTGGTGTGTTCCCTTGACAGAGAACTGTTACCCTTTTTTTTTTTTTTTTCCCATGCTTCCAGAGGTCTTATGCTGATTCCTTCTCATCTGAAGACGCTGTCACTTCTTATTTTTGAATTTACTTTCTTTGGGGTGGGACTCCAGCCCCCCCAACCCCCCCCACCCCCAAAATGGTTCTTTGGCTTCGCTTCTGGATGCTTTCAGGGGACAAAGGCTCTGTATACATTCCTTCGTTACAGATCCAAATTAGCGTGGTGATTTTTGCAAATGCTAGTTAGTTATTTTGTGGGTTGCAGTAATGGTGCGCTAGGCACGCCCGCAGCTCACTGTTTCCTGCGGAGACCGGGAGATGGAGGGCTCCAGAAACAGACCTCATTCCCCAGGGCAGGGCGCCTGTGTCCGTTCCACTCGTATCAGCCTGTGCGGTTCACCCTCCAAGCCAGCAGGCGGCACCTGCGGGCCAGGGCCTGGCCTGCGCTACACAGTGGCGTCGGCAGACATTTTCACTGGCCCACACAGGTCACCCTGCGTACGGCAGCGGGTGCTTGCGTGCAGGTGAGAGGCAACTGGCACAGTGGCGGTGGGATTCAAGCGTGGGCCTGCTGGGGTCAGCCAAAATAAGGGTCTGGCTGTAGGAGAAAGCGAAGCAACCCGCCGGTACTGAGTGCGCGCCCGGCCAGCCGCAATGTCGTGGCATTTCACTGTGCCCCAGGCTGACTGGCGCCGTCTGCTCCTGTGAACAGTTTGCTTCCAGATGGTTCTCCAAGCAGGGGCTCAAGGCCCCCGCCCCGCTCCGGCCATCTGGAGAGAACATGATAAAATGTAGAAAAAAACGATACCCTCCCTTAGGTGCCTCTGGTGGCCTAAGCCCCCGTGCCTGTGCTTGAACAATGAGATAATGTTTTTAGAGTGTGTTTTTTGTCTTTCAAAGGGGGCCGTTTTTTCCCTAGCGCATCACGACTACTTTTCTGTGCCTGCCGCTCTGCAGGACGGGAGTAGTCCTGGCCAGTAAATAAAGACTCACAATTTGACCCAGTTCGGTTTCTAAGGCGCTTCAGACCATAACAGTCGAGGCCATGGAGATGGGGGGGTCCCTGTCCTGTGTCCTGCTGTGGAGGCAGGTGGGGCTGGGGCAGGCAAGCTGCATTCAGACTCCCCACAGGCAGGCAACAAGTGGGGACCCCCAATGTGTGTAAGGTGGCACAGCTCCCAGCGCGGTGGCTCACACCTGTCATCCCAGCACTCTGGGAGGCCGAGGCAGGAGGATCCTTTGAGCTCAGGAGTTCGAGACCAGTCTGAGCAACAGCGAGACCCCCATCTCTACTAAAAAAATAGAAAGAAATTAGCTAGACAACTAAAAATATATATGTAAAAAATATATATATAGCTGAGCATGGTGGCCCATGCCTATAGTCCCAGCTACTAGGGAGGCAGAGGCAGGAGGATCGCTTGAGCCCAGGAGTTGGAGGTTGCTGTGAGCTAGGCTAACGCCAAGGCACTCTAGCCCAGGCAACAGAGTGAGACTGTGTCTCAAAAAAAGAAAGAAAAGAAAGAAATAGTAAAGGGTAAAGGAAGGTGTTTAGGAACAAGGAATATCATACTGAACAAAATCTGGAGAAGGAAATAGCCGCTAGAAATGGAATTAATGATGTTAATTTTAAAATTATTTTTTCTTATACTATATGTCCTAAAACATGACACTAATATTAAGCAGAAAATAGTAACAATGTAATTCATGTTTACAGTATATGAGAGTGTTCCATTATAAGCCCCAATCGCCACACATGAAGTGTACTATTATATGAAATTAGTCTCTGATTAAAGATTTGTAAACTCTGAGGCAAAGAGTAAAATGATTTTTAAAGGTATAAATAACAAACCAATAGGAAAGATAAAATAGAACCATATGCTGTATAGTTTTAGAGTTTACATTTAGTTTGCAAAGCAGTTGTAAGTCTCATAAGTATCTAGTGAGATACACAGTCTGCTTATCAGTATTATTTATGGTAGCTGTATTTTCATCACCCAAACTTGAAAAAAAACACAAATGTCCCTCAACTGGGGAACAGATAAACAAACTGTGGTACATCCTTATAATAATAATACTTGCAATACTATTCAGTAACAAAAACGAATGAACTTCTTACAAACATCACAACATGAATAAAGGTCAAATGCATTATGTAAGATGCTTAATTCATGTTTGCATATATTGTATGATTCAAGTTATGTCAAGGCAAAAGCAAAAGTGTAAGTTCAGAGAATAGATCAGTGATTACCAGGGGCTCTGGGAGGAGGTATGGATTGCCTACAAAGAGGCACAGGGAAATTTGGGGGGGGGGACTGATGGAATCAACTACCCTTGATTATGATGCTAGTTATTAGTTCAAGTATGTCTGTTCTAACACACTAACAAAAGTTACATACAGGTGATAATATACCAGAAATATTTTGGATTATCTAACTTGCTTTTTCTTCCCAGTGTATGTCTTGAAGATAAAATTATATTACCACATATTTAGCCCATATTTATGAATTCTTGTACAATATACAATAATTTGTGTAACCATTCCAATATCAATGAATATTGTTTCCTTCTGTTATGTGTGTGATTTGTTAACACTATGTAAGAATTTTTTTCCCTAATCTGTATTCTACACTCTTTGCTATTTATGTTATGATTTTTAATAGTCATTTATCATGTATTTGACTTTATTATTTGAGTTAATAAAACTTTTAATATAGTAATGTATGTTTTTTGTACTCTTTAACTGATAATTCAGAAGGTGATGGAGTTCGTGATTTCAACACTATGACTACTATAGTCATCCCTAGATATCCATGGGAAATTGGTTACAGGATTCCCCTGTGATGCCAAAATCCACAGATTCTCAAATCCCTTATATAATATGGTGCAGTATTTGCACATGACCAATACACATCCTCCCATAATCATCTCTAGATTATTTATATTACCCAATACAATGTAAATGCTATGTACATAGTTGTTATACTGTATTGTTTATGGGATAATGGTAAGAAAAAAAAAGCCTGTACAGTACAGATGCAACCATCCATTATTTTTCCAAATGTTTTCAATCTGCAGTTGGTGGAATCTACAGATGTGAAACCCACAGATAAGACTATAATCAACACTAGTCAAAGATCATTTTATAATTTCATAGAATGTTCCTTATTTACTCGTATTTGATTATGGACTCTGTATTGTTTCACTGAATTATTTCTATATTATTTTTATCAATTCCCCATCTATTCAGTTAATACAGCCTTTAATTATCAAAGTTCAATTTCCTTTCCACAAATGTTGGCAACTTACCTCACATTTTGATGTACAACATGGTCCAGAACCACATTTTACTGAGCCTTTCAATTTACATGTATTATAATCACAGCACTTTTTAAATTGGCATTCCTAGAATTTTATGAGAAGAAACATTATTCCAGTTCAATCACCTAAGAGCTCCTCTTTCTCATTCTCAACTTCAATTTAATACTCTTGTTGTGTTTAACTTTTTAATTATACAATATAATAATATTCAATGAGGCTTTACTATTTTGCTATTTCTAGAATATCCAAAGGTAAATATAATTATAATAACTAAAGAAATGATTTCTAAAATAGCAGTTGATCACTAACATTTATTAGCTAAAATATTTGATAATTAACTCATAAATTACCAACATGGAAATATATCCTTGGGGGAAAAAAAAAGCTTTCCTCAATTGTCTTGTTAGTAATTTGTTTAATGATGATTTCAATTATAATTAAACTTAAAGTAGAGTAAGGCAATAAGTATAATAAAATGCATTTAGTATATAAGTACTAATGTACTTATGTATTATATTTTACTATAAAAGAAATAAACAAAAAAAGAATTGCCCATACATATGTATTTTTACAAAGTCAATGGCAGTCAACTGTCATTCAAATTAAGTGTTAATCTAAAGAGTGTTAAAAATTAATATTGTTTATATAAATACCTTGCATTTATGTCATATTTTAATATTCTTAACTCTTTTTAGGTTAAATATTTCCTTTTCTTCAGAGATCTAGTTTCAAAAATCTTGCTTTTTCATATGAAGGCAGCATTCTTCATTTTGAATTTTCCATTTGTTAATATATGTATATTTATACAATCAAACAATATAGAAAATATAGAGCAAGAGTTGAAGTTGTAGTTATACTATCCAAATTCTCTAGAGGTAATTGTTTTTTAATTTAATGATTAACCTCCCAAAGTTCAATGCTGGTATTGAGTGTATGTGTGTGTGTATATATATATTTTTTCCTAGTTAATGAGGATGCTCTCCTTGTACCACCATGCTTATCAATACTAATTTTGACCAAGCCTTTTAATTTGTAATAAGCTAATGGGAAAAATGATCTCAAAGTTTTTATTATTGCTTCTCTGATTACCAGTGAGTTTCTGTATAAATTTTCTTTTTGTGTAATTTTATTTGTAAATTAAATAATTGTATATTTTGATCATATTTTATAGCAGATTTTTTTCTTTTCCTTTCCCCATTAAATGATACAGATTTTATATAATACCAGTTCATCACTTTAAAATTATGTTTATAACATTTCTTTGCAACGTATTATTTGTCCTGTTAATGATTAATTTTGAGTAATTTTGAGTAATATGTAATGTTATTTTTCCTTAAGAACTATTGGTTTTTATGTCTCAATTACAAGACCTGTATCATGCCAAGGCTAGAAAATATTATCAATACCTTCTTCTGATGTTTTATTGATAATTTTAAAGCTCATAGCTTTACTTTTTTTCAAATATATATCTTTATATTTTATGGAATATTTGGTCCAATATTTTATGGAATATTTGGTCCAATATTTATTATTAGTCATTATATTTGTGAATGCAGGAATGTGTATGGGGGATCGGGTGCACAAAACAGAACTACCATTTGGGTAAAATGGAGCATATTTATGAAGATATAATTGTCAATGCCATTCTGACAAAAACTACCTAGAACATAGTTGTAATTGAACAGCCATGCTTCTTTCTTTCTTTCTTTCTTTTTTTTTTTTTTTTGAGACAGAGTCTCGCTCTGTTCCCCAGGCTAGAGTGAGTGCCGTGGCGTCAGCCTAGCTCACAGTAACCTCAAACTCCTGGGCTCAAGTGATCCTACTGCCTCAGCCTCAAGAGTGGCTGGGACTACAGGCATGCACCACCATGCCCAGCTAATATTTTCTATATATATTAGTTGGCCAATTAATTTCTTTCTATTTATAGTAGAGACGGGGTCTCGCTCTTGCTCAGGCTGGTTTCAAACTCCTGACCTTGAGCAATCCGGCTGCCTCGGCCTCCCAGAGTGCTAGGATTACAGGCGTGAGCCACCGCACCTGCGGCCCATGCTTATTTCTCGTTGCAGCAAAGGAGAGCACAAATCATGGCCAACTGTGGTATGCCTCAGTAGGAAGATGTGAATTATAAGAAATTACAAGATTTGGCGTTGTGTTAAGTGATTTGGGGTTTAAGGAAGCTGGACTACACTCTAGATTGAATGCTGTCAAGGACCAAGGGGTAATTTTTTGGTTGGGGATTTTAATAATTCTTATATAGAAAGAGTAAATATCAGGCCATTGCTAAAGCAGAAACTGGTAAGGAAGCAGCAATTACTCGTGTTAGCCAGGATGGGAGGGTATTCAGTCATTTTTTATGACTGAAACAATGTTCAAATTTTGTCTGTGTTCAGACATAATTAAACAGTGGTCTTGTTTCCTTTCTTGATACATAATAATCACAGAATTGTCTAGTCTGATTTTGACCTTTTATGAGATTGTTTAGGTTCAATAAGAGAACATCAAGGCCCATCCTTGGCCAGCCCATAGCAACACCAAGGCCTGGCTGGTATTACTTGGGTAGGTCCTGGATGTCCCGGACTGCTTCTCTTTTTCTCATATGGAATAACAAGCACCAAATTATTAATTTGTACCAGCAAAAGTGCTAATCATCACTAATCTTAGTTCAAAGATCCCTAAAATAATACCCTGTGTGTTTTGATCATTGCTGATATAGAAAAGTAAACATCATATAGCTGGATATTTTATAACATGAGTTTCTTTAAATAGAAAAATATAATCTTTGCACAGTTATGTCTATTTCTATGTTAAGTTATTATTCCTTATGTCATTTTTTTCATATGTATGATGTATCATATATTTTATTTTTGTTTTTGTTTGGTTTTTCTTCTCCTTTTTAAGACTATCAAGACTTTGTTGTTCTTTCATGCCTCTTTCATTGAAAAAAAAACAATTTGTAATGTAAGTTACTTTTAAAATATGCTAGTTACATTTAAAATTTTAACTTATATATTTAAGGTTATAGGTCAAATACATACATTGTATAGTATTCCATTGTGTGTCTATACCAGATTATTTTATCTGTTCATTCATTGATGGACAGTTAGGTTGATTCCTTAGCTATTGTGAATAATGGTGAAATCAAAATGGAATAGAGATACCTCTTTGACACACTGATTTCATTTCCTTTGTATAATATATATACCCAGTAATGGGATTGCTGGACCATATGGTCATTCAATTTTTAATTATTCAAGGAATCATCATGCTATTTTTCATAATGGCTGTCCTAATTTATATTCCCACCACAAGGATTCCTTTTCTCCACATCCTCACCAACCCTTGTTATCTTTCATCTTTTTTGGTAATAGTATTCTGACAGCTGTGATGTGATATTTCATTTGGATTTTAAATTCAATTGCTTTTATGACTAGTAATTTTTGTGCACCTTTTAATAAACCTGTTGGCCATTTGTTTGTATTATTTTGAGAAATGTTTGTTCAGGACCTTTGCCCATTTTTAACTGCGTTATTTGTTTTCTTGGTTTGGGGTAGTTTGAGTTCCTTACTTTTTTATATTAACCTCTTGTCAAATGTACTGATTGCATATATTTTCTCCAATTTCTTAATTTGTCTTTTCCCTCTATGTATTGTTTCCTTTGCTGTGCAGAAACTTTTTGGTTTGATATAATTCCATTAGTCTATTTTTGTTTTTGTTGCCTGCACTTTTGGTGTCATACCCAAGAAATCATTGTCAAATCTCATGTCATGGAGATCTTTCCCCATGTTTTCTTCTAATAGTTTTATAGTTTCAGACTTATGTCTTTAATTAATTTTTTGTTGATATTTTATATAGTGTGTGACAAGAACACCATTTATTGAAGAGACCATCCTTCCTCCATTTTGTGTTCTTGGTATGTTTGTCATAAATCAATTGTAACTATGTGGATATATTTCCAGGCTTTCTCTTCTGTTCCACTGGTCTATTTGTCTAGTTTTATGCCATTACCATGCTGTTTTGATCATCACAGCTTTGTAATACATTTCGAAGTCAAGTAATGTGATTCTCCAGCTTTGCTCATTTTTCTCAGGATTACTTGGGTTTTCAGGGTCTTTTGCAGTTTCCTATGAATTTTAGGATTGTGTTTTCTATTTCTGTGAAAATGTGCTGGATTTTGAAAGAGATTACATTGAATCTGTAGATCAATTGGGTAGTACCAACATTTTAACAGTATTAATTCCTCCAATCCATGAACATAGCCTATCTTTCCATTTATTTGTGTCATCTTTAATTTTCATCTAAGTTTTATAATTTTCAGTGTATAGAGCTTTCACTTCCTTGCTTAAATTTATTCCCAAGTATTTTATTTTATTTGTAGCTGTTGTAAATGGGATTGTTGTCTTGATCTATTTTTTATATAGTTTGTTGTTAGTGTATGGAAGAAATACTGATTTTTGTATATTGACCTTGTATCCCACAACTTTACTGAATTTATTAGTTCTAATATGTTGGTGGACAACTTAGAGTTTTCTATATATAAGATTATGCCGCCTACAACAGAAACAATTTAGCTTCTTTTCTGATTTATATTTCTTAAGAAAAGATTTTTTTCCTTTACTATTATTAATAGTGGCTTATTAATTCTATTTATTTATTTTACAAAGCACAAACACTTGTTTCAAAGATGACTGGATACGGAATCTGTGTTAACCATGATGGTGTTTGGGGGCCTCTGATGTCAGACATGTTATCACAGATTCTGTATATAATCCTTCTGTAATGTCTTGACTTTCATTTCATTTCACATAGTTCAAATTACTCTCTAAATTACCTTTTGATTACCAGAAATTTTCCATAAAGGATCAAACTCTAAGTATTTTTGATATACATTTCATATGGTACTTGCTGCATTGTTTACCTCTGCTGTTGTAGCATAGAAGCAGCCAGAGAATACAGAAAAAAATGGGTATGTCTCTATTAAAATAAAATTTAATTTACAAAAAATAGGCAGCAGCTGGATTTGACCAACTGGCCACAACTCTGATGTAGAACATGCCTCGGAGAATTTCTTCACAAGGGGCAAGGAATCTGGGGCATTTATCTACCAACTGACCCTCATAATTATCTGAGGACCGATCATTAGCTGCAGAACATAGTGAGCCCACCCTGCTAATGGCTGAGTATGCTACTGAGATCACAGGGATCACTCCGGCAGAGTCTCTGATACTTGAAACAAAAACGCTCTGCAGGAACAGTGAAAGAGGAGAAGCTGGTGGGACGCTACTGTATCTGCCAATAGTGTCAATCTGCACCCAGTCTGTGGCTGTAGAAACCCAGAGTGCAGACCTAGCCCCAGACTGTGTTGTTTTCTTTTACCTTTTATTAAAAACAATTAGTATTTATTAGTAGATAGATGGCACCATACTTAGGGGGTAGGAGAATGTGAGTTGGGCAGAGTACTGCTTATCATAAAACTAAGATAGCATTGGGATAACTGGAAATCTGTGTGTGTCTGTGTGTGTGTGGACACACACACATATATGAAATATATACCTACTATATATGTAAAAATATATATATTTACAATCTGTGGGCACATATTTAATACACAGTCACATAGATACGCATAGACTCAAACAGATTTTAATTTGTGGCATGTAGGATGATTACGAGTACTTGAAAGGATTTAATGGTATATAAAAATGTGGTGGTCAGGAGTTTTTGTAGGGAGAAGGAATTCATGTAACTATTGGGGACAAATCATGAAGAAACTATTTTATTGAAATCAAGGTGAATTGTTAAATATTATAGAACAATGATATTTATAATAGACAAAATATATTGTCCCACCTGTTGAGAATAGTATGCATTGAACACTAGGTTGATAGAATGACAATTTAGTGCATACATACATGCAGAAATGAGCAAATAGAAAAAGGTTGATCATCTAAAAACTTGGAAATGCAGCAATGTTTGAGAATGATTAAAAATAAATCCATTATAATGTTTAGACATTCTTTTAACCACAGAGACGGGGAAAATTTAGATTAAATTTAGCAGAAGTTTGTAGAGAAAACAGAAAACGAGGCCAAATGAGTTAGGAACTGAGTTGTGGATAAAAAAAAAGATTTCATTTAGCTTATGGCATTCAAAATCTATCTGTTGGCATGACTGCGAATAGTTATACAAGCCTAGAGTTCATGATACACTTGTTTTCTCAATTCGGGAGGTGTGGGAAAGTGATTTATACCAGGTCTGTCTGCTATAAATTATCCAGCCATGTAATATGAAAATAGAAATATTTATTGAAGAAGATACAAGAAACATTGTACATGGGACAATGACACCTTGGTCCCCTTCAAAGTAGCCACCTTAGGACCTCACACGGTTTTCCCCGTATCTCTTAACCTAAGCCTATACATGGCCAATATTTTCAGGTGCTCTGCTTCTCTGTTCTCCTTGTATTAATATTAACAATGACTGGATATTTTCCAGGCAGAACTTGTATTATCTTAACTAATTTTCATTCTCATATCTCACTTATAAACTGAAGACATAGTTGCATATATTATTCCATATGTATCATGACAAACATGTTTTATGTTTTATTAGAAACATAAAGATTGTGCTCAAATTTCAATCTTTGTTACTCACCTCTTCATTACCACAGTCACATTCTTCATTAGTTTCCAAAATCCCATTACCACACACTGGTTGATTTTGATATAATGTTTTCAAATTTGAATGGTTTTGAAGGCATTTAATGTCAAATTCTGAAACAAAATTTCTATAGTCATGCATGCTACAGTTGCTAAAAATCTTTATACCACTGGAACTCCTGAAATGAAATAGTATTCCTCAGGTAAATAAACCTCGCTAATAAAAACCACATCTAAACAATGCTCCATATATACTCATATAAATCACAAGTTGGCCAGCTCAAAAATTGTACTTTAGCAGAGATTAAATCAATTATAATTAACTTTAAATTTTAATATTTATTATTTCAAGATTGTCTTAAAAAATACACATTGAAAATGTGTCTTTCCAGAAAAGCAACGCGAAAAGTTACAGTGGTTAAATCTATACATCTATGCATTTATGTATCTCTATATCTAAATCTATCATCTATCTATTGTTCCCTTTACTGGTATGCTGTTCCCCAAGCTTTCTTCCTTCATATCAGTCGGATGTCTGCTCAAATGTTAGAGAGATCTTTCCTGATAATACTACCTGAAATTGTGTCCCTCCACATTCTCCCTCTACTTTCAATATTTGTTTCTCTACATAGGACTTTTGCTTCATGTAAAAGCAAGCTTCTCCATTTATATTTTTGAAATGTAAACTTATGTGATCTAAATGTTATACTAAAATATGAGACCCAAGAAAATCATTATGTACATGTTCACAGCTGTATTTTTGGTGGAATACCTGACAGTTGTTCCTTATATATATACAACACAGATTTCAAATTTCAATATTTAGTCATTTCGACCATGTCTGCTCTTCACCCATTTTTCTCAATTGCTGAAAACTTCATTCTTTTAATTGCTAAGTCTGATAACATTGGTGTGATGCTGGATTCTTTTCTTTCCTCTTATACTCCATACCCAACATGGACACACACATGCACACATGAATATAACAAAACTGATTAACAATTTTTAAGTTGGTTACATGTTGAGATGATATTTTAATATATTGGGTTAAATAAAATATATTACCATAATTATTTGATTCTTTTCATTTTTAATGCTACTAGAAATTTAAAAAATTTAAAATTATATACACACCTCATGTTTTATTTCTATTGGACAGTGCCACTCCAGGCAATTATGTCTGAATTGGTAATACTTAAACAGCTAAATCTGAGATGACAGAGGTCATGGGTGATCTCTTGAGTCTCCAAAGAAAGAAATGTTAACTGCTAAGGTTTCAAATTCGGAAGACTTTAAGGACAAGGAGAAATGATTTAGCTTTTACTGACACCACCATTTGTAGTGGGATAAGCAGTGAAGAGTGGGAGAACGATCATAGGGAAAAACACCATTAAATCAAATTTTTCTTTATTATGTTAAACTACTTTGTTTTAAAAGGCATCAGTATTGCTATGCTTTTGTAAGATGGTCTCATGCAAAGAGCTACAAACTTTGAGCACTAATATCTCTTCACACAAAATTAGTGTATAGATAGATATGGGCTTGGAAGTTATTTACTACTTGGACCACATGATTTTCAAGTGAAAATTAACAGTATTATTTAGAATATGGAACTTTTGTTTAAGGTGGGCACAATGCAATTTATTTTTTGAAATCTCTGCTTAAAAGGTGGCCACCAAAGAAAGAATACGAATATGAAGTGTGTGTTGATTAGTTTATAGTTATATATCCCTAAGCACACAGAATTTTAATAAACAAAAGACAATTTAAAGAAAACATAAAATTATTAGCTTTTTGTGAGGAAGATTACATCCTGGCCTAAAGACAAAAGAAATAGGGTGAATGAAGGCAGTTGCCTCAAAATACTTAAATTTCTTATTCAAAGCTGCAAGTTTGGGGGAAGAAAAAAATTGAAATCTAGTTAAAAAATTCAAAAAAATTGAAGTCTGCAGGAATATACAGATTCCCTACGTCCTTCTCTCTAAATCCCATAGAAATTAACTTGGCAAAACATCAACTCTTCACTTTCTTTGCAGATGCAACTCCCGAAGCAGAAATTGAAGGGATCAAAATGAACAACCATGCTGCTTGAATTCACATTAAGTTTGTAATCATAAATTCTTAATACATATTCAAAATGCTCAACAATCCTATCACATTTCCTAAAATGCTTCTAAGTTCCAGTCCTAGACAATTATTTCACACCTTCTATCAAAGCTCTCATATTCCTTGCTCTTAGCTTCCTATTAGAGAAAATTTCCCACATCCTTACATCCCCATTAATCAAATTATCTACCTCCCTATATATTTACTTTCCTAATCTCCTATCACAAATATTAAATATACCCGGTTTTAATAAAAGCCATTTCTCTACTTTGGTACTAGATCCTGTCTTCTAAAATTTACATGATGATATTGTTAAGTCTCATATCCAACATCACCTTTTTCCCCTTTCTTTATTTCTATGAGTCTACAAGTATATGTAGTATCTCCCTTCTATAAAATTTCTCCTTTTACCATAAATTCCAGCTCATACTCCTCAAAAGGTTGTCTAATTTACCATCTCCACTTTATCACCTTTCCATGCAGTTTATCAAGTTCCTTAAAAATAATATATTGATTTGGATTGTACTGAAATCATAAATGTACTCTGGAAAAATTAACAATTTTATAATAGATCATCCATGTGCTTACTGATGGCATTCACATGCTATTGTTTTTTTTATTTCTGGATATTATGGGGGTACAAATGTTCAGGTTATGTATGCTGCCCTTTCCCCCACGTCCCCCTCAGAGCTTCAAGCGTGTCCATCCTATTTGGAGTTTTTTAGATTTATTTATCCTAATAAATTTTTGATGTTGATGTTGCTGTTGTTGCTCTAATGGTATATTGATTCTGATGATTTTTCTGGGTGATCAATAATAACATCTGCAGATAAGGGCATTGTTTTCTTTTTCAAGTGCTTTTTATTTTTTTCAACATATTAGCCAAAACTTCCACTACTATGATACATTATTAAGGGTGATATTAGGTATCTTTGTTTTAAACAACAAAGACTATAACAATACAATAGTATTAATATTTTATACTATATTTCATAGTTTTTATTAACTTTAAATTTCTTCCACTAATTCTCTTGAATAAAAATTTCTTAATAATAAAACATATCACTTTCCAGATTCTTGCTTCACTTACAAAAAAAATTGTTTGTAGCTCTTCAAGCATAACATACATTTTCAATTTTTCATATGAAGTTGAATGTTAAAGTTTAAAAAATTCATCACATCTTGGAAAGAGTCTTATAAAAATATATGTAAAATTAATTAAAAATGTCTTACAGTGCTTCATGATTCATTATGCATGTAGCTTGTGGACAAGAACACATAGCAATGTCATCATATTTTAATCCTATATTAAGGCCAAGCAGTTGAGCTATAGTAACTGAAAATCCCTCCAAACTCATCGCTTCTGGATACTAGAATAAAAAATATTCAAGACAAAACCATTAGATAAGAATAAAACAAAAGCAAGTAACAACTTGAAACATTTTTGCTCTTATACAATTTTTATATTTAATATTTTTATGTTGAGTATATTTTATAATAATTTATTTTGATATGCCATTGATAGGTACATTTATGCTTATGTAATGATTAAGAAGAATGAAACAATGTAAAAAGTAATCGATCTATAAAATTCTCTGCTTTAAAATGTGAAAAGACAAAGTTCTATAGCTTTGAACATAGGATATTACAAAATCAAAGAAAAACATATTTATTTCACTTTCCCATTAAGTCAATTCATCCAATTAACAAATATTAATTGTACTCATATGTCAGGCATTGTGATAGATGATAGGAGTATAGTAGCAAGATGAAAGCAATGGACATTGTCCATACCTAGAGCTTATTTTACAGAAGGGGAAAAGACAATAAACAGGAAACCAGCATGCAGATTTCAACAATTGGCACATAGTCCCTATCAGTTAGTGGGCCCACTGACAGACACTTTCTACATGAACTTCCTATATAGTAATAGAAATAGATCAATAACTGTTATGAAGAAAATAAAGTATACCAATAGAAAATTTTATGGAAGACTATAAGATAACATAATTATTAATAGACAAGATAGTTAGAAAAACCTCTTTGTGGAACTGATATTTAGAGTGAGAAATAAAGCGTGGGAAATGACCCAATAATATGAGCATGGGTAGCAGGGTTGAACAGGTTGAAAGGTTATGTATACTAAGTGGAATGAAGAAATGGCAGGAACAACCATGGTTTAAAAAATTTGAAATGAAAAGCTATTAAAATATGACTGGTAGCAGTGCAAAGTAGAAATATATTTCATATTTTTTAGCTTTGATAAGTAGAACATGGTATCTTTCTCAGCCCTTTAATCATTACAAGCAGAATTCTGAGACTATCTATAATTTTCTATATCAATTGAAATTTATAATGAGAAAATTAAAGTAATGCATACCTAAAACAAACAAACAAAAAGATTGTGTATATGTGTGTCTAGCAATAGAAAAAATTAGTTAATAAGTATTGTCTATCTATAATAACTATAATAAAAATAATTCTACCATCCTATAATAACTATGCTTGAAAGTCACCATGTCAGAATTTGAAAAGAGATTAAAGCCAAAAAAGAACATGAGGGATAATATCTGGGCTGACCATCAAGTTTTTGGGAAAGATATACGAACCAGAAGATGGACTTTTAATGCCAAATCAGAGATAGAGACATGATATTTTATATCCATAATTATATAGTTAAAAATAAATCGCTAGTACAAAGTCATGCAACAGATCTTCTGAAAATAAAATACCTCCCTACTTAAACTGTACAAGAAGAGAGATGACACAAATAATATCAGTATTAAAAAAGAACATCACCACAGACACTGCATATTAAAAAGAGCTCCAGAAATCTCCAAATAGTCAACACATTCTTTAATAAGAAGACAAAGGTGGAGGTACCACATGTCCAGATTTTAAAATATAATACACATCTATAACATTCAAAATTGTATGTTACTGGCATAAGAACAGATCTATAAAATAATGGAACAGAACAGACAGTACAGAAATAAATTAAATCATGTATATTCAGCTGATCTTTGACAAGGGTGTCAATAATACGCCATGGGGAAAGGATAGTTCCTTCAATAAATGGTGTTGGGAAAACTGTATATCCACATGCAGAAGAATGAAATTGGATCCATAGCTCACAAAATATACAAAAATCACCTCAAAATGGATTAAAAACTTAAAGGTAAACCTGAAATTGTAAAGTTCTGAAAAGTAAACACACACAAAGCAAAGAAGCTTCTTGACATTGTTCTGGGTGATTATTTCTTGACTAGGAAACCAAAAGCACAAGAAACAAAAGCAAAAAAGACAAGTGGGAGTGCATCAAACTAAAAATCTTCTGCACAACTAAAGCAGTGTGAAATGACAATCTATGGAATAAGAGACAGTATTTGCCAACCACATAGCTATTAAGAGTTTAATGTTCAAAATTTATAAGAAATTCAAACAACACATTTATAACAAAAGAAATCAAATAACCAGATTTAAAAATGGGCTGAAAACATATGTAGACATTTTCTAAATTAGGACATACAAATGGCTAACTTCTCTATGAAAAGGTGTTCAACATTATTAAACATCAGGAAAATGCAAATTAAAACCACAATAACCTCACATGTGTCAGAATGGTTATTATCAAATAGGAAAAGAAAAGCAAAATCAGAGAAAGTATTTTAAAAAGGGCATCCTTGTACATTGTTGGGGACAATGTAAATTGGTATAGGCATTATGTAAAACAGTACTGAGGGTCTTTAAAAATTAAAAATAGAACTACCATATGATCCAGTAATCCCTCATCTGGGTATATGCCTCAGAGAAACAACATCAGTATCTAACACAGATATCAAAGTTCCCATTTTCATTGCAGCATTATTCACAACAGCCAAAATAGGGCAGCAACCCACATGTCACCAATGGATGAATGGATAATGAAAATGTTCTTTCTCCTTTTCTCACATAAATATATTTGTGTGTGTGTATATATATGTATATTATATACATTTCTTTATGTATATACACATATAATACAAAATTATTAGCCTTTAAAAAAGGAAATCCTGTTATTTACAACAATATATATGATATAGATAAACCTAGACAGTATCACGCTAAGTGAAACACAGACACAGAAAGACAAATAGTCTATGATCTCACTTATATGTGGAACTTAAAATAGTCAAACTCATAAACACACAGGATAGAATGGTGGTTCCCACATTTGGGGCACTGAAGGAAATGAAGAGATGTAGGTCAAAGGGAATAAAGTTTAAGTTATGGAAGATGAATACAGTCTGGATGTCTAATGTATAGCATGGGAACTATAGTTAACAATACTGTATTATATACCTGAAATTTGCTAAGAGTGTAGTTCTTAAGTGCTCTCAACACATGCAAAAAATATACCAATGCAAGGTGATGGAAATGCTAATTTGATTATTGTGATCATTTCATAACATGATACATGATATCCATATATATATATATAGCAAGACATCAAATTGCACACCTTATTTGTCAGTTAAATCCCATTATAGCCAAATATGCATAGAAAGAAAAAAATTCAAAAATAGAAAAATTCAGACTTCTAGAGAGGAAGTCTGAAAGCAAAAAATACACTGGATGAGATTTACATCTTAATAGAAAATTTTTAAAAAAATTAATGACCTTGAAGACATAGCAATAAAACAAAGCACAGAGACAAAAATTAAAAAAAAAAACTAATTCAAATTAATGGAACATCTGTAAGGTGTGGGGATTATATTATCTTTATATAGGTTTATTTGTAGTTCCCACATGAGAAAAATTGAGGAGAATTAAAAACATTTGAGTGTATTACAGCTGAAACCTTTTCAAATTTGAGAATCACCATAAGCCTAAATATTCAAGAAGCTCAGCAAATGACAAGTAAAATAATTACAAACAAAGACCCTTTCAGATGTTGAATTGTGTCCCTCTAAAACACATGGGTTGAAGTCCTATCCTCTGTTAAAATGAGGTCATTAGTATGTGCCCTTATCCAATATGACTGATAGTTTTATAAAAAGAGGGAGTTTAGATACAGAGACAGAGACACAGAAAGATGTGAAGATAAAGGCAGATATTAGGATAATGCATCTACAAGCAAGTGGTGCCAAAGATCACTAGCAAACTCTCAGAAGCTAGGGCAGAGGCACAGAATAGATAATCCTTCAGATCCCTCAAGAGGAACCAACTCTGCTCATGTTACTTGCAGAATTCTATTTTCTGCAGAGCTGTGAGGCAATAAATTTCTATTGCCTAAGTCACTGAAGTTGTGGTATTTTGTTATGGCAGCCATGGGAACTCAACACAGACCATCAAATACATTGCAATCAAAAGTAATACGTCTCTTAAAGTGCCCAGGCAGGGTGGGGACGAGATACATTACATAGTAAGGAACAAAGGTAAAAATTACACCAAACTTGTCATCAGAGCAATAAAAAGAGAAAATGGGGAGGGATTCTCTATTGCTCTTGGAGAAAACAACAACAACAACAAAACCCGCTGATTTAGAATTGTATACACAGAGAAATATCTTTTAAAAACTAGGATAAAATGAAGACTTTTAGGTCATGCAAAAAAGGAAAGAATTTCTCACCACATTACCAAAAAAAAAAAAAAAAAAAAAAAAGTTAAACCAAATTCTCTATGAAGGAGAAAATGATAGTAGTCAGATCCACTCTAATGAATGAAGTAAACTATAACCGGAAAATAAATGAAAAATAGTTTTCTATTTTTTAAAATTCCTTTTTAAAATGACAGTTCAAAGCACCTACAATAACAACACATTTGGGGTTTATAATGTATGGCAAAATAATCCAAGGCTGGGAGGTGGGAAATGAAAGAATACTGGTATATGTCTCATATATTACATGTGAAGTAGTATATACTTAATGAAAATTAGAGTTGATAAATTCATGACATATGCTATAATCCCTAAAGCAACAACTAAAAAGGGGTGGGGGTTATAGCTAATAAACCAAAAAAGTAGATTAAATGGAAAATACTCAACCAAAAAGAAGGAATAAAAGAGTGGACATGAAGCACAAACGATAAGGAATTAGTCAAAATCAAACACAAAGATGATAGATTTTAAATAAAGCATATCACAGATTGCATTAAATTTTTATAGTCTAAATCCCCCAATTAAGAGGGAAAATTTTCAGACTAAATAAAAGAGCCAGTCCAAATTGTATCTTACCCATCAACTTTAAACATAAAGAAACGAATGGGTTAAGTATAAAAAATGAGTACATACAGACTATTTTAACATTAACTTAAAAAGAAACTTGAGGCCGGGCGCTGTGGCTCACGCCTGTAATCCTAGCTCTTGGGAGGCCGAGGCGGGAGGATTGCT